AGTATATAAAATAGGTCCTAATGAGGCCAAAGGCGGCTTTGTGTGAGTTGGTTGTTGGCGCACATTGCGTGACCAATCGTTGCGCTGCCGTCCTTCGCTGTCCGTTACATAATTTCACCATCGGTGCGCAGCGCGGACCAGGGAGTGCTGGTGAGTGCTGTTCTTCTGCCACTTTCTGGGCGACTGTTGCTCTTCTGCTTTTTCACGGAGTGTTGTCACTCCTGGGGCATTCATTACCTCGTGACCCCGCCAGCCGTGCTCTGTGCAGGCGCTAACACCTGTAACGGCCAGATGAGAGGCAGGTGATCTCCCCTTCAGCGGCTCCCCATCCCCGCGCTCCACCGCCCCGTTGCGGCGTTATTATAATGTGAATGAGCACGGTGTGAGGGGGGCCCGGACCGTGTGTCGGATGGTCCAGATGCCCCTGCAGGCCTGAAATTGGACCGTAATGAGCGGAGGGGTGTCTAGCGAGGGTCCCCAGCACGTGCATACGGCACCATTTTTTCTCAGCAGGGCTCATGAATCTGCTCGTGGCGGCCAGGCATTGTTACGTATTGTCCGCCAGTGTCGCGTTCTAATAGCCGTCATCATTTAGCTCCGCCTCGGCTACGCCCAGCGCGACGCACGGCAGGCTCCGCGCGGGGCTCAGCAAACGCCCGGCACGAGTGAGAGACGGGCATCGGATCGATCGGTGACCATGCAGCCACGTTGCGTGCGATAACAAAATCGCGGCGTCACTCCACATAGATATGCTAACGTCGATGGACGCGCGCGTTTGGCCTGTCACTTTGGCTTAGCTCTAGATGTCAAAAGGTCGACCCAGTGCCAGGCCTGTTGCCTTTTCGCCGGACATCTGCATGAGTTCGTGGCGACGCCCCCCCCCCCCCCCTCCCCCTATCACGCTGTTGAAGGTGTGACTACCAGCGTAACTCGCGGCTTGACATTTCAAGTGTCCGGAGGGCCATTGCGGTCTCACAAATTAATTGCGAGTTCATTTGCAAACGGTCCGTCTTGAAGTGGGGACATACATCAGCGCTGAGGTCGACAGCCACCCGGCGTCGCCACGGTCGGCCCACCGCTGCATATTCATTACCGCGGGCATTTCCATTTGAAGCGAGCTAACAATGCCAATACAATTACTCGGCTGCAGCCGGGCCAGGTGACCGGCAACGTCCGAGCGTCTTCCGCCGATAGCCGGCCACCAACAGTCAGTCAGCAATAGTCGGCCAACAACAGTCAGCCACCAATAGTCAGCCACCAACAATCAGCCACGAACAGGCAGTTACGCGAATAACAAACTGCAAGCTGTGCTTCTTTATGCAGATAACAGGACGTGTTTGCATTTGGCGTGTGGTCGTTTATGAAATTAGAAAGCTTCTACTACAATTGGCCCAGATTTACTAAATGTGATACAACTTTTGTGGCGCCTACAGTTATGAAAGCGAGAATGTGAACGATGGCATGGAGCGTGCTGGTTCCACAGTGGCGTGAGCTGCAGTTTTGCCGCGTGGCATTGGCATGTCGGCCGCGACGGTAGCCTGCACCAATCTGGTCGGCCAGCGCGGCGGCCAGGCGGCCAGCGCGACGGTCAGTTGGCCAGCGCGGCGGCCAGCCGGCCAGCGTGGCGGCCAATCGGCCAGCGCGGCGGCGGGCCGGTCCTGCGCGGCAACGAGCCGGTCCGGCGTGGCGGCGGGCCGGTCCGGCGCGGCGGCGGACCGGCCCGGCGCGTGCCGACCGGCGGCCGTATCTGCCAGCCCTGTCTTATCACGGCCGGATCATGATGCTGATCGGAGCGGCCGCGGCCGGGCCCCTCTCCCACGAGGTCACACCGCCAGCTGCCGGGCCTCGGCGCCCCGGGTCAGCCCGGTGCCCCACTCTCTCTCCCCGGCACCGAGGAGGTTCGTGACCTGCCGGCCGTCTGGGGATGGCTGCCGACGTGTCACCACGCTGGGCCGGCGGCGGCTGTCCCTTTTCTGCCTGATGTCGAGATCGTTTGGTGTTGCCGAAGCCCCCGGTACCAGGTCCTCACATCGCCTATGAGCTGAAACGTGATGGCATACTCGCGTCTGCCTCATTCCAGTAGGTGAGCGTGACATGGCAAGCTCCCTCCCTAGGGAAAAGCACGGACTTGGAAATCATGCGCTCAGTTCCACCTTCCCTGGGATCTCTTTCCTTCCAGGCCGTCCAGTATTGGTGGCTGCGTTCGGCCGCGTGCGGTAGCCGGGCTCAGTGCTGCCGTCGTGCCCTGGGCGCGGACCGTTGGACCCCGCAGTCGGTCCCCGGCGTCAGCTGGGCACCGGCTCCAATCACGGCACGTGCCAACGTCCGCCGGCCGCCGGTCAGCTGGCGCCGGCGGGCCCCACCGACCCCTGACTGAGATTCATGGTCCGTTCACCTCCGTCGTTATGGGCCGAACGAGGTCGATTTCAAATTTGTCCTGGCGAGATCGATTCGGCTCAAGATCGTTGGTTCAACTTAGAGATGTTCGGCTCCGTCACAGTGAAAAGATGCGTTTCAGCAATGAACGAGCTACGCTTATTTGGAGCAAGTTTTCGGATTACTAGTGGAGGAATCCCGGTCGTTGCTCTCGTGTAACCATCCGAAATGCCGCATGTCCGAATGCCTTGTAAGCATCTGATCAGGCCAAGACCCATGGTTTTTCTCAAGCGACCGACAGTGCAGCTGAGACCTGGTCACCGACGCGTCTAAAAATCCGGCACGTCGGTCTCCCACAGCTGACTGCATGCCGGTGGGTTAGCCGTGAACGGTTTTCTGCGGAGACCACGACGGTCCGTACTGCTTCGTATGTGACGGGCAGCGGCCGCCAGCGCCCGATGGCCGCCACCTTCCGAGGCTCATTACGCGCTGTTACACCTGGCGCGGCCCGCCTGCGCCCGCGTCCGTGCAGTCGAGTGTAACCTATCTCAACGCGCGGCCGCGCCATGGGCGCCGTAAGGGTCAGTTTGGCGGCCGGTAGGGCGGCCGGCGCGGCGCGTGTCGCCCTTCCCGGCTGAGTCATCTGGCCGGCGGCGAGGACGCCGCCGCGCCGTTTCACCTGCGGCGGTCACGGCGCGGACGGTGGCGTCCCCGGCCGAGACGGCCGACAGGACGCGTGCGGTGCCGCCCGGCCGCCAGCCGCTGTATGGATTTGCGTGAATAATTGACGGTGGTCCTCTGGGACTGGAGCGCCGGGCGCCTATCTGCAGATCAGCGGCCTGTATTGGCGGGGTGTGACGCGCGCTACCCTGCCAGCCGGGGACGGCCCGGATAGCGTCGCCGGCCGCCGGGGCTGGGCCCACCAGCGGCCTGTATTGGCTAGGTGTAACGCGCGGTGCCCTGCCAGCCAAGGACGGCCCGGGTAGCTCAACTTTGACGTGGGCGTACAAAGCCGAGGTTCGACCATCCATGACGCGTACACTCACGCCGGAGGCGCAAGTTCAAGTGTATTTTCGCGTGCTCGTAAACCAGAGGTGGGCCCGCGGTGCCGGTGGACAGGCTCACGCAGCGCACCTGAGGTGAGGCCATGCCGGATCGAAATCCCGACCGGACTTGGCGGCCAACACGTGGGCTCGCGATGCGTGCATTTTGGTATCAGGCTCACAGGTGAGGAGGGCGAAATTGATTTAGTAGCCAGGTTTAAGCCCGGTTTGATTTAGGATTTGCCACGTTGTTGGATCACAAAAATGTCCCACACAGACAACGAGCTGGCATTTTTCATATAGGTATTAACATTTGATTTAAGCTACCGGGCGTAACAGAGGAAGCGGGCACGCAGTCGCCATACGGCGACCACGCCAGCTCCGCGTTGCTGAGTGAGTGCGGTATCTGGGGCCGTGTCCGTGGTGTGGCGAGCGGCCGGCGGGCCGGCGGGGCGGCGGGGCGGCGGGGCGGCGCTACGACGCCGCCCGCCTGGACCACGTGCCGTAATCGGCCGGACAGCTGTGACGTGATGAGCGCCGCTGTGACGCCCGCCGCCGTCACGGTCAGTTATGCCCACAGCCGTGACGGCCCCGGGATTATTTGACTCATCAGAAGCGTCCCATAATGATGATGGATCCGTTCTGATTGGTCAACCGTGGTCGCCGGCAGTTTTTACAGCAGAAAAGGCCATTAAACACGACTGGCTGTAAATATTTCAGTGCGTACAGGTGATGCCGACTAAATCATGAAATGCAAACTGATGCGCGGTCGTTAAGTTCGCTGAACAGCCGACAACTAGTCACGCTCCCACTCCGTCGGCCGACCGGCGGCAGTTTTAAACACCATTTGTAAAATGACAACGGTTTTGTGCAGGCTTGCGAGCCGGCGCTAAAGCTGCCCCGTCCTGCGAGCTCCAGCAGCTGTGCCGGAGCGCGGCGAACGCGACGCTCCCGCCGGTCATTGGTCGACAGATCGTGCGGAGTGCTTCGACCGGCGGGGGCCGACGTCCAAACCCCGGCCAGGTTCGGTCAATCATTCATCAAATCCGATATGGCATCGTGATTTTCAAACTGCGGCGGCCAGATTCGGCCGCCAGCCGGCTCCCCGGGGAGGTCACGTAACGACGAGGCCGTGCGCGGTGGCCGCACGCGCCAAATTCGTCGATAGGGGCCGCTCAGACCTCATCAGACGCGCTCGTCAAACTAATCAGAGAGCGCCGATAGCGTGTCAAGCAGCGTCGGCGTCACGTCAGCTGGAGGGTTACGTCATTGAAATGTACGATATTCATGTCCTGTATGGACTCGGCTTGTGTATACTGTATGTGGTACATTATCTAGCCCGTCCAATGTCCAACTGTGCGACTCTTTAGAGGAATCCAATGCAGACACGACAGATTATTGGGATAAACACACGCCGACATCTGTAAAGGTAAAATGTGGGTAACATTTATAATTCGTTCACAGTTTCGCACATCAGTGTTCCACCTGTGACTCGTATTCGATCACTGTCACACCTATCTGTCGCTGCTTCGTAGCCCTCTGACGCATCACTTCACTGACGGCCCCCTGCATCTCCGGCAGACCCGGGCAGCCCGCCGTACGGGCAGACGATGCCACCGCTGCTGCCGCTCTCGATGCTGTACCCGGGCTACCTGCTGCACGTGTACCCGCAGTACCAGCGCTGGTACGCCGAGGCGAAGGCGCCGGCGCTCTCGTACTCAGGGCTGGCGCGTCGGTACGAGGCGGCCCGGCTCTGGGAGTCGGTCTCGCGCCGCGACCTCTCCAGCCCGGCCAACACTGGTGAGACGCGCCCCGGAGCGCCGCACGCACCGCCCAGCGTCCTGGTCTGCTGCTGCTCGGGTCAAGATTTTGAGCACGCTCATCCCGGAGTTCAATGGCCTTCCCAAAGAGGAGTTTGGCGTCCTTTATTTAATGTTTGGTGGGTCAGAGACCTGTAATTTGGTATCAGCGGGTTCCAGGAGCATCGTTCCGTATGACCGGCTGTCAATCTCACGGTTGAATCCGTTTGTGCACCGCGTCACGCCAGTCACGCTCGGCCCTCCGCTGACGCCGGCACGCTCCCGCAGAACCCAAGACGCCTAAGTCAACCGTATCTCCGTCGTCGAACGACGACGAGGCCGACACGCCGCTCAACCTGTCGACCAAGTCGGCGGCGCGGCGAGGCATCTGGTCGCCGGCGGCGGCCGTCGAGCGCGAGGCCAGCCGTCGGCGCTGCTCGTCGTCGGACGCCGAGCCGGCCGTCGCGCTGAGTCCGCCGCCGGCCGGCTCGCCCGCCCGCCTGCCCGCCGGCTACCCGCCTTACGGCCTGGTGCTGCCTGGCTGGCCGGGTGCCGCGGCGGCGGCGGCGGCGGCGGCGGCGGCGGCGGCGGCGGCGGCGGCGGCGGCCTCGCGCCAGCTGGGCAGGCCTGTGCCGCCCAGCCGGCTGCCCCAGCTGGAGAGCTTCATCTGCCCAACCTGCAAGCGCGCGCTGGCTTCGGCCGCGGCGCTGGAGGCGCACGTGAGGCGCTGCTCACTGGAGCTGTCGCCGCGCTCGTTCCCGGCCAGCCCCGCCCAGGGCACCGCCAAGCCGGCCCAGGAGAGGTCGTTCGAGGTCAGTCTGCCCTCCCCCCTACACACACACACACACAAACACACACAGAAGGCTGCTCCCGATACTGGAGACAAAGGACGCCGCTACCATTCAAACCACTTTGACTTCTAGACCGCATGTTTTTGATTGATTTTTATGAGCTTAGCTTCCCTGAAGTCAATGGAGGCAGATTCTGTGGAGTGTTGCTCACCCTCGGCATGTAGTCGCGGACTTGCCAGACGGCTAGGTGACATAAGTGAGGCAACCAATGTAGTATTATGCATCTGCCGTTTCCTGACTGACCGAACGCTTCCGGCAAGTACGCAAAATGCTGAGTCCGTGTGATTCTAAAATAAATTGTTTTTTGCCAGTGCAAGCAGTGTAACAAGACCTTCAAGCGTTCATCGACGTTGTCAACGCACCTGCTGATCCACTCGGACACCCGGCCGTACCCGTGCCAGTATTGCGGCAAACGCTTCCACCAGAAGTCAGACATGAAGAAGCACACCTACATACACACCGGTAGGTAATGGTCCGACATCGCCGTCCGATATCGCCCGTCAGTCCTCCGGGCCGGCCTCGGCTTCGGTGTGCTGCTATGGTCCGACTCGGCTTTGTGTGTGCTCCGCTGATGTGTAAGAGTTGGTGACTGGGTGAGTCATTCTTGCCTGACGAAAAAGGTTGCACGCTCGTTTGCTACAAGAGTGGTTTGAGTGCTTGAAATTGTGGAGAAAAGAAGATTGGATTGTTTTCCTTGGTTTTTCTTTGAGCCATTATCAGCCGACTTGTAGCTGCATTCGGCAGGCGCTCCCTAGCACTCTGCGGTGGTATGATTATACCGAGCGACGTCTCTTTGAATTAAGCAGATGATCACGTTGGAACTTTCTCATGCCTTTCCATCGGCGATATGGATTCAATTTGTCGTTGATTTATGTGTGTACCCAGGGGTAGCGTCCCCTCTCCATAAAAATTATCGACGAGGAAGCGCGCCCGCCCCTCGTCCAAATTGGTTTTATCATGAGACTCGCCGCCGGCGACTGATTGCCCCCGGGCATGAAATCAGGACGGGCATTGTTACAGTTGTTGATAAGTACGGTTACTGTTATTCCCGACGATAACGGCCGGGAACTGGCTGCCAGATGGCGGCCGCCATCGAAGATACTATCGAGCTAATCGATTCATCGGAACATGCTGCGCCGCCGGGTGGCACTGTAGTGATCTGTGCCGCCTCCGCCGAGGGGGAGGGGGAAATCACGCGCCGTCGCCACCGCCGCCCGCCTTTGAATATCGCAGGCTGACGTTGGTTGGTGGGGGAGGTAGGGCGGCGGCGTGAGAGGAACCAGACGACCGACGGCCGGGCTGGTGTCGCGGGCCGCCTGCGGCCGGCGTGCATCCTAATGTCCAGCCGCCGCCGCGGAGAGCGGCTCAGACGCCGCCGCAGTGCGGGCCTCAGACCTCTCGGGTAGCCGTCACGCGGGCCGGGCCGGGGTAAGTGGCGGCGGCGGCGGCGGCGGCGGCGGCGGCGGCGGCGGCGGCGGCGGCGGCGGCGGCGGCGGCGGCGGATGGCGTCGGCCAGGTGTGGGGGGGGGGGGGGGGGAGATAGCGGCCAGACCGCCGCCGAATCGAGGGCTCCGTGCTGAGGACGGCTTTTTCAGCTATCGTCGAAAACCAACCACAGACGCATCGATGCGAAACCAGCCGTTTGCGGTGTAGTTGGTTTGAGCGGGCAAATCGCCGCTGTCCGCTGACCAGGTCCCTCCTCCCCGCAGGCGAGAAACCACACAAGTGCTCCGTCTGCGGCAAGGCCTTCTCCCAGTCATCCAACCTCATCACCCACATGCGCAAACACACCGGCTACAAGCCGTTCGCCTGTGGTCTGTGCGAGAAGGCGTTCCAGCGTAAGGTGGACCTGCGCCGCCACCGCGAGAGCCAACACCCGGACCTGGTGCACGTGCCGCCGCCGGCGCCGCAGCTGACGCCGCGGCCGCCGGCACCGCCGGCCGCCGAGCCGGCCTCACCGCTCCCCTGATGACGCTCGGCGTCGTCGGCCCCCGACCGCGCCGCTGCTGAACCCTAGCCCGAATCTCCGCCAATGGCCGGGCCTTTGAGGCGACCGAAGCTCTGTAGCTCTGTAGCACACGCCGGCCAATATGACCATTACTTACGTCAACAAATTAAAAATCTTCGATCGCCAGCCTGAATGGCTGGACCCTCTTCGGCAGAGAGTCTTTAAACAAAGCACTTAGGTCGCCGTTTCCCCCATTGATTTCTGGCAATGGCTCGTCTGGATGTGGCATTGTTGTTTGGGTTTTGCACACAAGCTGTTCAAACATTTAACAAATTCATCGCGGGCATCAATGGCGATGCGCTGCGACGAAAGACGCGGCGTTTGACACAAGCGCTACAAATGGCACCGCGTCACAACAGGCCCGGAAGGGGGCCGTGAGCAGGGGGAGGGAAGGGGGGGGGGGACGATCGAGTCGATGGCATCGCAGTCGAATGCCAGGCGGGTGCAAACAACGAAACGACCGCGCGCGCCGAGTGCTGGAGCTTTCTAGTCAGCTTGTGTACAGAAGGGGGTGGGAAAGGTATTGGGGGCCAGGGTGGGTCGTCCGGTTTTGTGATCGTGAAAGGCAGAAGTAAGAACAGTGCTGTTCCCTGCAAGTACCTGGGCAGAAAGTGCGACAGGGCTCTTGTTACCACCTCGGGTGTGTTCAAGATCGGTGACATCGTGTGCGGGCGGCGTGTACGGTGCATATCGCACATGGTTTTCAATGTTCGACTCTGCAATTACGCCTGCATTGCGGGCTGTTCGTTCGACGTTAAAGTGGCTGGTTTGCTTTCGCGATCATAAAGATCGGTTTGGGTTAAGACGGTTCCCGACCATGATATCCATGTATATCCAAGAGGATCGCTTACGTGTATCGATGCTTCAATGTGACCAGATGGTGAATGCGTTCGCCTGGGGCAATCTCTCATCAATGCACCCACTTTGGTGAGGCCGCAGCGGGCGGCTGGTGGTCATCGTCACGCAGAGCATTGCCATCGTAAATTTGCGCCACCATTATCGGGAAAATGTAATTTCCTAGTTGCCGTGCATCTCAAAAGTGGAGATCACTTTCAGCCTTCGCATTGCCCTGTTTCTGATAATCGCCGTCGAGTTTATCTTCCTCAGCCTCTAGACCACATCATCGACATCTTTTTCGCACTGTACAAACGTGCACCTTAAAATGATAACTTGTACATACGTATACGCTGCGTGCCTTTTTGCAGGTCCATCCAACATCTAGTTACGATTCTAAACAGATTTTAGCCCCATATTATCGGTGTTTCAGATTGTGTTGTGGCTGGGTGACTATGTGTACGTTGTTGAACATGCGTAGATGGATGCGCGTGCCGCGAGCGGGCAACCTTGGATCGCTGTGATGGAATTGATTTTCCACATTTCAGCAGTGTCATTCGTTGCATGTTGGCTGCGATCTTAATAAATTACTGTTATCATTCGAGAACTATCTGGTTGTCATTCTCGTCTCCCGACAAGAGGCGCGCGGCAGAGTGAGCTTGTACAGTGTTAGAGAGGAGGTGGAGATGGGAGGGGGATTTTGCATCGCCCCTCTCCATGCATCCGTAGTCGGAGGGGTGAAAAAACCTCCACAATGAGAAGTTTCTATATCCACGCTGAGGCTTCACGAGGAGCCCACCCACAGTCTCGGTCATTGCCGAGGCACGACAGCAGCGCTGTGTCTAGCACACGACCGCGTCTTCACACGTTACACCCACCAAATGTCCCCCTCCCCTCCCCCACGCGGCGTCGTTCAGCGGCGGCTCCGATTGGCTGGCGGCGCCTGGCCGGCTGGCGGCGCGTGGCGGGTGACCCGCAGCGCGCGTGCGCAGGATTAGTGGGGTCAGCGAGCCGTAACCGCACGCGCCGCGGCCGGCGTCGGCTCGTTTGACGGCCGGACACGCCTCTCTGCAGCCCAGTGCGCGACGGCCCGGCCTCTGTGATGGCACGCGCCGAGCGACAGAGGGTGGCTGACGGAAGAGAACGGGCGTTTATCAGCTGGTGGCTAGCGCGATATAGCTTCGCCGTGCTGTCAATAATGACGCGAGCTTGGCATGAACTTTTAAACGACTTTTACCCCGCAACCATCGCCTTAATGCTGCATTATTGTTGCTTCCTGCGTGCTCTACAGCAGGCTGCCCGTGAAGCTATGCTTGCTTTTTGTTGTAACTGCCAAACTGCCGGCGCCTTGACATGGAGCGGCTCAGCACTAGTTTGAGGCGCCCCGGGCTCAGAGAGGGTGCCACGAATTGGTGTAAGCTCTTGCCCTTGGTGACAGGGTACCCAGAAACACAAGAAGAGAGATCTTTCAATCCCAAATAGAGGGGTGCCCCGAGTTTGAGTAGAACAGCGCCTCTATTCTTAGCAGGGGAGCACCCCCATTGTCCGAGAGAGTCCAAGAAGGCACAACGATGTCAACAAAGGACAGCCAACCATATTACCGGCCCCTTAACCTATTGCCAATCGAAGGCCAGCAACAGTGGCACGGCCTGCCTGCGGCCGGGCTCAAATGCGCAACGCTGTTGGCGGGTTGTGTGCACAAAGCCTGCACAATGTCGACATCTACGTCGGCCAAGGCCCCGCGGATGCGTGGCGCCGACCGGAAGCAAGCTGAAGAGATAATGAGAGCTCGGATCCCCTGCAGGGCGTCAGTACAGCCTTGAAGGCGTCGCAGCCAACTGGCGCGGCTCATTTGGCGGCTCATTATGCGGCCCTGGCCCGGGGCCGCGCGCCGATCGCGATCGACGTGGCCGTCTTCTCCGGTAAACCCACAAAATCCCAATTACTCGACGCTGACGTAATGGCCGTCGCGGAGTCATCTGCGCGCCGCCGTTTACTCGCGCTCCGGCCGCCGGTAATGGGAACAATTACACTATAATGAGGTTATGTGACATTAATGGCGCGCGTAACACCTGCTCTGGCGCGAGCCCGGGCGGCGGCGCGCGCGCACACGCGCCGTCTCCAGCGACGGCGGCCAGCTGAGCTCTTGTTGACGTCAGAGGCGTGCCGGCGGCCGGCGGAGCGGCCTCCTGCTCCTGCTGTGCAGGGCCTGGCACACCTCTCAGGCTCCTCTGGACGGGGATGGGGCTGGGCCGCTGGCAGAGGCCGGCCAGCAGTACATCGGCATGACAGAAAGCGAAGCAAAGCATGTGAGGTTCGAGTCCGACGAAAATTACTACAGCTGCCGCATCCTGCAGGATAGTCGAACGAACGCCCCGGAAAGTGAGGCGAGGGGCAGGCGATGCCAATTTTGAGGTCAACATTCCATGGCTCGACGTAAGCTAATGTTAAATGTTCTCACAAGGTGGGGCATGCCCCCTGGCTTAACCCGTTCCTACGCCTATGATGCAGGGTATCATAAGGCATCACAAGGGGTCTTACGAAAAGCATTAAAGGTTACGACGGCTCGGTTATTACTTAAGCAGGTCGCCATTGTATTCACAAGTCCCCCCTGATCCGGAAGGCAGAATTCAGCGATAGCAGGTTCAGTTCGCAACAATTCATCTATCCAACGAACACGCTCTGTCACTGGTCACCGATCACAGGCACTTGCTTATCGTACCGTTGGCAATTCACCGATCACAAACCATCAACGGACACGACCGTTACAAGCGGCCGATTGTTTGGCAACGGTCCTAAGCTGGGCACACGCATACCGTTCATTAAACGCCTGCGGACGCGAACAAGGGAAAAGCGAAGCGGAAGCGAACCATGGTATCATATGATTTTAGATCAGCAGATTTCGAGACGGTATGTTCTTACTGATCATCCCACCGAAGTCTGGTCCGGCTGCGCTCCAGTTGACAATTGTTGACTGCATTCGTGGGAAGGGCAACATGCACGCTTTCTTGAGCGGGCTAAGCTTTCGAATGGGCGTCTTGGTGATCAAGACAAACGCTCCAATATGTACACAGGTTACATACTATGACGCGTTCAATGAGGTCAGAGGTCAACTGGACTTCCAAGATAAATAGAACTCTCAAATCTTGCTCAGCTGTTTCCCGCTGCTTGTTCCACATCGATTGACCCGCACCCGAACTCTGCTCGCTATACCTCGCGTTTGTGTGTAGACAGTACAGAGCGGCCTGTTTTGGAGACCGCAAAGCGCTGGGAACACTTTTTTAGCTAACAGCACTGGCGCGGATATTTTTCATGCTAGTTTCGACATACATATAGTTCAAGTGATCAAGTATGTTTTAACTCTGTAGCATCCCAACTTAGCTTTGAGACATGCCATCCCTTATTTGTGTTTATACTATTGTGTGCTGCGGACTTACTGCATTTTAATTAAACGACTACGCCTGTCAGGGAAGCGCTGCTCTATCGACGATGAAAGAAAATAAATAAATAGACAAATAGGTAGCATATTCGTCTTTTGACTAAGCGACCAGTCACGATGCCTGCGTCCCTTGCGATAGATGTTCTGCACAAGGTGACTGAATGGGACATGTCACCGTATATAGTGTCGCACCTGACTTTAGCATGTTGCCGAGTTCTTAATGACATCCTATTACCTGCCATTAATGCCCTTATCTATAAAACACATTTGTGCGCATTCTATTTATTCAAATTGGGAAAGCAAATAAATGATTCCGATAGCCAATATTCCGAGCGTAGAATCAAATTTCACCTTTCTGTCGATGGACGGAAACACTCTAATCAAACAACATTAATTAAAGCCGGATGCAAATAATAAAACTCGCCCGGCGGCTGGGAAGATGAATGGCCTACTCAGCGCGAATTCTAATTTGGGTTGCCCCAATAACATACGTCGAGGACCCCCAACATGCATTAATAACATTGACCTTCTCTCACTCTGTGCCTACGTATCGCGCTGACAGAGCAAAACAACCGCTTCATTATTGCAATGGCCCCAAAAACTATCGCCACCGTACGGAACCGCAACCAACCGCCACGCGAAATACACTTCGAACCCAATTACGCTTAATTGTCCCCTAATCGATACTGTAGCACCTCGTGAGGCCGGGCCTTTCATCGAGTGCACTCAGCAAAACCCCGCGGGCGATTTGCGCCGCCGAGGCTCGGCTGCGACGACAATTGGCGCAATGAATTTTTTATGCTCGCTTATTCATGAAAAACGGATTGTTCTGGGTGCAGACGAGGCACCGGGGAGTCACTGCCTCGCCCGGTCGCCCCGGCCAATAAATAACCATGCCTAATTACGCCGGCGTTAAGGGATTTTCAGATGATTAGGGATTTCGATAATAAGTAAAGCCGTGCATTATTGATGAGAGTGACTAAGGCGATTGGTGGCAGTGACGAGGGAGTGGAGAGTTTATCTCGGGACTTCGAGGCGGGATGCAATCAGCATAATGTGCCGGTGGAAACATCGGTGAACACGCATCAGTCCTGCCTTGACTTTATGAATCGGCAATTGAATGGGTGTGTTCTATCTGAGAATATCCGGATTAGGTGCAGCACCGAACCCTGTGAGAAATCAAATGTGTACTGAACGTTCGCGTGCAGGTAAAATGGTGAAAGTACGCATAGATTAGCGTGGAAATGGGTATAGCGTTATTTAGGTACGTTCATGTGTTGTGTTACTGAACATCTGTTGAAGGTGCAGCGGGGCAGGCAAGGCGTCATATGACGACGCGTATAACTGAAGACAGGAATACCACACTCATTTGCATAAGCACACTCGCTCTTGTAACCGCACTCATATCAACTGCCCACATAAGCACGGTCACTCACCTAAGCACCCTCACTCAGACACACGTAAGTTCTACCGACGCATACGCTCTCACGCACACAGGCATAATTCCCCATAAATCAAGTTTCCAGGTAAATTAACCTCACCTGTGACTATGGCTCGCCTAAACAATTCCCAAAATACTGACGTAAATATTGTGATATAGGTAGGTACTGCTATACATAAGATGAGATATGTCTCTTCACTTGAATATGAGTATAATCTTCTAAATACATCTCTTCACCTGAATATATCCCAAAGCAAGTAAAGATCATCCAATTGTGCTGTGTAGAAAACTAAAAACTAAATGTATTTGGGCTCAATGTAGAATTGGGGACGTCTTCAGTTGGGCATGTCTGACCTGGCGTGACCTGTGATGGCCTGAACCCTCACCATCAGATTCAATAACGCCGCACATCAGTGACGTCGAAAGCGACTGTACTTATGAAACAAACGAGTAGCACGACCCAATTGTCAACAAGTCAACTGCATTGCCTAGCACCAATGCTCAAAGCTTATGCGCTTTCTCGCCCTAGGTGCATGTGACTGTCAAGGTCGGTGTCACGTGATTAGTTTACGGGTGCTCCGTGATCCGTCACCGAAAAATGACGGTTTGCACTTTGTAGTGTAAAATTATAACTAACCGAGTTAAAGGCGGATGATCTGTGGGCCGTGGTTTAGGCCATTAATGGCCGCCGTCAGGCAGGAAGTGATCAGCGTGGTTCTGAATAGGTTTGTGGACAAATATTGACAGAACTTCTGCATTAAACGTGCTGGTAGACGTGCAGTGCCACCCTCGACACGACATTGGGAACTATCATCATGCGATAAAATTTAAGACATATTTCTGCAAGCAGATGCTGTCAATATGACAGCTCATTTGCAAGCATCAAATTCATATTTTTGAGATGGCGAGCATTTTAGAGAATGTTTAAACCTTATGGCTAAATTAGCAGCATATGCTTCGAGCGACTGGGAAAACAGTTAACTCCAACCTGACGTGTTTCGGCATGTGACATCATTTTGCGTTCCCGCAAAAGCAAAGCCCTTTATGCACAACAAAATATCAGCCGCAGCCTCGGCAAAACAACATTAAGACATGTAGTGTCGAGTTGGCTTATGCGCAGTTCTCGAGTTTGCAGCATGTTTCCCAGTTAATGCTGTGGCAAGAATTCGAGCTGGTCATGTTTTGCTTGACGCAAGCATAGTGCATTGGGCGTCTTGGTGACGATGATCCTCATATCTGGATAGATGATGGGCTCCACCATGCTGCTTTCGGAGTGTAGAGGTCACTAGGAAGCCACACGTATTGTGTAAGATTCTTGTAGCTAACGTACGGACAAAAAGTCGAATGGAACAAAGTGGAATGGAAAAAAGTCGAGCTGAAACAGTCCAGCGATAAAAAGGCGACAGGAATACAAATCAATAGGGGTTAGCCTCGGATAAAAAAAAATCGTAGGACAAAAAGTAAAGTGAGGTAGAAGCCGAATCAGAAAAAGTCGAAAGACAAGCGTCAACAGGTATAGAAATTGGCTGGGATAAAAGGAGTGACGAGCCCTGTTGGAAAAAAAGGTCCAAGGACAAACGTTGACAGGAACTTAAGCTGACTGGGATAAAACTAAAAACAATACAACTCAAAACATGAATATACCGAACGGGCAAAAACCGATAGGATGCGTACAAGGCATTAGTGGGTGTTTATGACACCTTCGTGATCACAAGCACAGCTTAAAACGCCAAGTACGGACAATATACTCCATGCTTGCTCTATACTATTGTCCATCCAGACATCTTCGTGCGTTGGTTGTCGATAACTCAGCATAATTGCCCTCAACTCATAACGCCGAATACGGGTATGTGTACTTAATCAGTTAACGAAAGGGGCTCCATCCCATTCTCCACTTCTAGCTTAGTTAAGCTAGACCTGGAGATACGACAAACAAACACAAGGAGGACTTAGGATCAATCCTGTTTCGTCCGGTTCTGTCCAGCCCTGTTTGGCCCCATCCTGCTCGTCCGATAGCATCATGCTCCGTCCAGTCCCGTCTTACCTCGTGCTGTTTCGGCTGGTTCCGTCCAATTTCGTCTGGTTTTGTTTGATTCCATTCTGGCCCATCCGGTTACTTTCGATCACGTTCGGTGACGTCCGATCCTGTCTGATCGCGCCCGGTCATGCGCGATCCCGCCTGGTGCTGTCCGTTTCGGTTCGGCTCGGTTCCATATGTTTCTATTTGGTTTCCTCCGATTCCATCCAATCCAGTCCCATGTCATCTGTTTTCGCCCGGTCCTTTGAGGTGTGATCTGGTCCCACACGGTCCGGCCTGCTTCCGTCCGTCCTCATCCAGTCCCATTCCTGTCCCGTTTGTCTCTCCAGTGGCCACAGCCTTATCCATCGTCATACCAGCCGTCAAATCCCGACGACTCGTTTTGAATAATTTTGGCCACTGGTCTTTTTACTTTTCCAGGTTGACTTTGATCGATATCGATGTTCTGCCTTGTTACCTTTATC